GACCATCTTCATTCTTATCCTCAACACTCATATTGAAATGCCCAAGACCTTCCTTATCGCAACCTGACAGCCCTAATGGTTTGACATCAAATAAATTGTCCCCATCGTATTGGAACACGAGGACGTCTCCTGATTCCAAAGAGTTATCTTCAACAAATTTTTCCCAGCCATACCAAAAAAAACAGTCATTGTCAATTTTGGCCATTTTTATAGGCCACAGATTTGTGTAACAATCTCTAAGGAATGCTCTCTCTGGTAAAGTTCCCTGTAATTGTAAACTAAACGCTGCTGGAAGTTCCTACAAACAATAAGTTAAATGGAATTAGATCATAGCAAAACTCTTTAAACATTGAAGAGCCATTTCTAGTTAATGCATATTTTCCCAACTGTCATGAATCTATTTTTTAGATCTTTACGTATGTATACTCTAAAAGCACAAAATAGAAAATAATAATAATAATAATAATTTCTCCAGCATCAGTGTAGGCTTTTAAAAATTTAGCTCGGGAGCAGGACCATATCTTTTTATGTTGATTTCATGAAATTTTAGTGGTATCATGTAATTCAGATCACAAGCTTGCTTTGGTCCTGCAGATTTTGATGTTGTCTTCAAGGCATATAAAGTATTTTTACGTAATTGATGACACATCAAATCTTTGTGGCTTAAAGTTATTTACTTTCTAACAACTTTTATTCATCCATTCAAACGATACAAAATCCATCACCCGAATTTTCATTATACTCAACCACAACGACGTATGCAATGAAATACTAAGCATATTAAATCCTTGTGGTAAAAATGAGATAAAACAATACAAAATAAATTTTAATTAAGAACAAAAACCAGGACCCTTAAAACAAATATTAAAATTCAACAAAAAAAAATGGGGAAACACAGATAAATATATATTAATACCAATCTGCTTGCGCTGGTTGTAGGATTGTAGCACTTGAAGAAGTTCATTGTCTTTTAACCATCTTGATATCTGTTTACAGCATGCAAAAGAGGCAACTGGCAACTCAATATATGAAAAATCAATATTCAAGTGACGAAGCATAAAAAAATTTATGTGAAAATGCAACAAAATATATTAATAGATACGCCTAGTTCCCTTAAGCTTTTTTAGAGTTCATCTAAGTGTATATTTGGCAAAGATGATTTTTGAAGTTGGTCAAATATACATTTTACCCATTTTGTGAAGCTACTTATTCACAGTAAAACCCACAACTGTGCACTATAATTAAATACAAAAGAAAATAAACTGAATGAAAAAAACATTTATATAACATAAAATCAAGTCTACAAGAATCAGTAATTAAATTTGCAAAAGTTACTAATTTAATACTTTCCTTTAATGACAAGAATGTTGATTTTATGAGAAAGGTTTCATCCAATGTATCAGCAATTTGCCCAAAAATAATTATTTTATCTAATAACGAGAATCGGTAATTTGTTTGCCGCATTTCATTGAATTCTTTAACTACAAGCTAGGAAGCATGCCAAACATGATCCTGCAATGCAATAAATACAAGATCATTCAAGGGATCACTTGGCATCTAGTGGTCACTGTTCGGCCAGAAAACAAAAATATGTGAGCAACATTAGATCATAGCCTTTTGAGTTGACATAAAACATAAATATAAGTGACTTCATATATCCACAACTTTCTGAATTTGAGAAAACAGAAAAATAAGTTGGCTTTAGACAGAATTGAAAATGTCATTACCATAAGAGTTGAGAGGACATTGACGACCTTAACCAACCAATACCATCAGTAAGAAATTATACAAAATGAAAGTTAACATAAAATCAATTGAAAAAAATGGGCATATATATATATAGAACTTACCTTCAACCATTTGTTCTGCATCTGCTTCACCATCTTCTTGAGTCGCATATTCAGTTTTTTCAGTGTCATCCTCATCTTCAGTATCCTCAACTTGGACTTCCATAATCTCCTTGTAAACTTTGGCATTGTCATCACTGTCATGAATACCCTCCTCACCGTCATCCTCTGACTCCATGTAATATAGGTCTTCATTGCTTTCAACATCATCCTCTTTTCTAGCTCCAGCTTAATCAGTTTGTAAATTTGTCAAAATAATGAATTACTTAATAAAATTAATTAGGAAAAATGGGCAGAAAAGAAATGCATAACTTACCATCAGCCACTTGCTTTGCTTCTGCTGGACCACCTTTATTCTTATCCTCTACACTCGTATGGAAATGCCCAAGACCCTCCTTATCGCAACCTGACAACCCTAATAGTTTGACATCAAATAAATTGTCCCCATCGTATTGGAACACAAGGACGTCTCCCGATTCCAAAGAGTTGTCTTCAACAAATTTTTCCCAGCCATCCCAAAAAAAACAGTCATTCCCAATTTTGGCCATTTTTATAGGCCATAGATTTGTGTAACAATCTCGAAGGAATGCCGACTCTGGTAGATCTCCTTGTAATTGTAACCTGAACACTGCTGGAAGTTCCTGCAAACAATAAGTTCAATGGAATTAGGTCATAGCAACACTCCATTTCTAGTTAATGCATATTTTCCTAACTGTCATGAATCTTTTGTTTAGATCTTTATGTATTTATACTCTGAAAGTATAATTAGAAAAAAAATTCTTTAGCATCAGAGTGGGCTTTTAAAAATTGAGTTCCGGAGCAAGTCCATATATTTTTATGTTGATTTTATAAAAAAATTGGTGGTAATATTTAATTCAGATCACAAGCTTGCTTTAGTCCTGTAGATTTTGATGTTGTTTCACGGCATATAAAGTAGTTTTACGTAATTCTTGACACAACAAGTCTTTGTGGCCTAAAGTTATTTACTTTCTAACAAATTTTATTCATTCGTTCACACGATATGAAGGCACAAAATAAAACCGTCGCCCAAATTTTCATTATACTTGACCACAACAACATATGCAAGGAAATGCTAAGCATATTAAATCCTTGTGGTAAACACGAGATAGAAATCCTTGTGTGCAAAATGAGATGAACATACAAAATAGAATTTTGATTAAGAACGAAATCCGGGGGTCCTGAAACAACATTTAAATTTAAAAGAAAAAAAAGAACTCAGATAAAAATATATGAATACCAATCTTTGGGTGCTGGTTGTAGGATTGTAGCACTTGAAGAAGTTCACTGTTTTAACCATCTTGATCTCTGGTTACAGCGTGCAAAAAATGCAACTGGCAACTGAGTACACGAATAATCACGATCCATGTGATAAAGTTAAAAAAAATTTGTGAAAAGCGAACAAAAAATTTGTAAATGCAACAATATATATTAATAGATATGCCTAGTTCCCTTTAGCTTTTCTAGAGTTCATCTAATGCAACTTAGTACACGGAAAATCACGATCCATGTGAAAAGGCTTAAAAAAAAAATTTGCGAAAAGAAAACAAAAAATTTGTAAATGCAAGAATATATTAATAGAAATGCCTAGTTCCCTTTTGCTTTTCTAGAGTTCATCTAAGTGCTTGTTTGGCAAACAATAATTTTTTAAGTTTGTCAAACATACATTTTCCCAATTTTGTAGAAGCCGCTTATTATTCACACATAGCCCGTAGGACCCACAACTATGCACTATAACTAAATACCAGAGAAAATAAATTAAACTACAAAACATTTATATAACATAAAATCAAGTTTGCAAGAATTGGTAAATAAACTTAAACATAATAATTTCCTTTAATAAAAAGAATATTTATTTTATCAGCAAGATTTCATCCAGTGTATCATCAATTTGTGAAAAAAACATAAAAATCATTAATTTTTATGAGAATGGGTATTTTTGTTTGCTACAATTCATTCAATTTATAAACTACAACCTAGGAAGCATGCCGAAACAATCCTCCAATGCCTTAAATACAAGATCATCAAAGGGAGCATTGGCATCTAGTGGTCACTATTCGACCATAGAATAAGATTATTTGACAAACACTAGATCATAACCTTTTTGGTTGATATAAAGGAGATGATCTACTGAATTTCTTTCGATGTATTAACAGGAAGTTCATTTGAATTGTAGAGGTCCAAAAAGGTAAGTGAATTAATGTATCGACGACTTTCCAGATTTGAGAAAAGCAAAAAAATAATTTGGCTTAAGGTAGAACTGTGATGAGAACCAAAAGCAGACATATGCATCATGTATTCATTTTTATTCCAACATGAAACCTAACTTCCTCAAGGCAAAACAATGTGACAAAAAGCGACAACAAAAGCAGTGTGTATGCATTCAGCTATAAAATAAACTAGATAACATAATTCAAAGAGCCCATTACAATCAACAATTTGCATTCAACTTATAAATCTTTTCAACCAGCTGTAAATTTTCCAGACCAAAACCACTCTACAAAGTTACTGTTGATTAACAGAAAGATAATTTAAAATAAAAATGCAAAACCAAAACAGATCTTAATAAACTCAAACTCCCAATCCGTGGCGTAAATTTTCCAGTCCAGACCCACTCTTCCTTCGAAGTTATGGTCCATTAGCAGAAAGTTAACTAAAAAGAAACCCACAAAATTAAAGATCTCAAGAAAACATACATAATTTTGTAGATCCTTCAAATGAGCCTTTGGACTAAACTCAATGCTGCAATGAGTGACTAGGGTTTCTGAAAAATATAGACTTACAGGAAGAAGAAAGACTTCAACCCTTATTTATTGTTCAAACCTTTGGAAACAAGCCTTGATTATATTGAATTTACGAGAAGTGCCACTATAGGCTCTGAAAATATTGGTTGACAGACGAAATTGCCCTTGTGATATAATGTTATGTGGCGATATTGAGGGGTTTAGTTGATGGGTGAGTTAGTAATTTGATTTTGAAATTTTTGGATTACATAGAAATACTTCAATTTTCGGGGATAATTTGGGAAGTTCATTTGGTAGAGTTACCTTTATAAGGGAATAAATTGCCACTAAAATTTTCTTTGTACACACTTCATAATCACACCCTAATTAAACAAAATTTTAATAATTACACCGCAATAATTTTGCAATTATAACCCTAGCCAAATTAATTAAATAATAAAAAAGAAAACTTACAGTTGTGCTGTACGTACATACCTTTCTCATCTCCTCCATTCTAGTTCTTCCCCCAATGACTCAACCAAACCCAACCACCCGTTCAATAATCATCCTTGTAAACAGTGATGATGTCCCATACCTCTCTTTCTCTACATTTACTCACACATATGTAAATATTCACTTCGGACATGCATTTTGGTTATTAATAATTGACATTATGAATTTCTTTCCATATTTCGTCATTATCTTTACTTTTAGGATCAGATTATGTTCAGAGATGATTTTGGAACTTTAGGCCACAGTTGATATTTTGAACTTAACATGATTATTTGTACTTTTAAAACAAACAATTCACCATAAGCGTTGCCACTAGGGAAAATAAAAATAGCGCCCCTGCGGGAAAAAGACGTGGCCTCTGCTGAGGGGAAATTTGAATCTGTCCATCGCCGCTGAGGGTAAATGGTAACATAAAAAAAATGTTGTCTAAAACTATTTAAAATTGTGGCTGTTTATTGCTAGAGTCATTTATGTAAGTAGAAAAAAATATCTAGAATTAAACAAAATTCACAGTCGTAATATAGATACCCTGGATTCTATTTCCAGATATTATGAAAATGGTGTCTTCAAGTATTTGACTATATGGACACCATATTTTCATCACCATATATCACTTTCATAAAAGTCTTCGTGAATATCTCGCGCGCCCATTTTGCAGGCAGTTTTTGGTTATTTTTTTGGAAAACTCTTGGCAATAGTGGACCCTTACATTGATGGATTTTGAAACTAATAAATTAGTTTAAAGCGAATTCAAAAGTGAAGTGTGTAATGATACAACTCAATTGTGGCGTTAAATGCACTGCCAAAAAAAGATAAAGTTTAAAGCGAATTCAAAAGTGACTTGTGTAATGATACAACTCAATTGTGGCGTTAAATGCACTGCCAAAAAAAGATAATTAATGCTTAATGAGACATTGTGTACTTCATTTTAAATATCACAATGCATGAACACAACATGCCTGATGCTCTTCATGCACCGGAAACACTTGAGCCTCACTCTGGAGAAGAAAATTACATCTACTCATTGTTGGCCTTTAGAACGACTACTCATCCGGTAGTGGTAGAGAACAGCCCAGAAATCCTAAGTGATTGTCAAAGGAAGATCGGACTTACTAGAATTGAGGAGAATTAAACATGGACAGCTCACCACGACCTTAGATGGTTGTAGTTGATGGTAGAGGTGGACTCAACCATTAATCGTTGACGCAATTTTTGACACAAGATTATGATGCTCCCCACAAACAATGTCCGTCGGAGTTGATAGGTTATGACTCACAAGTAGGTAACTGGAGCTCGACTACCCCAGACTTGATAAAGGGTAGCTAAACTGGATATCCGTCACCTGGATGAATTTAAATGTTTCACTAACTCAACAAGGTGGGAGGATTTCTGTAAAATTCCGTTCATCATTATAGGAAAATACCTTCCATGTGTCACCTTCTTAGTGGTCAGTTTCAAAAGTCTGAAACTTGAACATCATACACTCAACAAAATATTAATTTTGCAATTTCTACCAATAATAAACCTACTCAGGACAAAGTCTGTATCTACATGTGACCTATATTTAGCAAATTATATTTTTACCATCTATGTAAAGACTATATCATTTATGTGTATCACCAATAGGGGTCAGAGATATAAGATGGTTGATGTTTCTATCGGGACATGATCTACATGGTCCAGATGAAATGTAGGTGACACAGGAATGTCATTAATTACGGCACTTGAACAAACAGAAGTCAAGATTCTTTCAATAGCGAGTTGAATTCAAGCAGGCAAATTTTTGGGGTAACTTTCAACAGAATCCTGAGAATGTTGAAAACATATGTTTCATTTATAGAATGTTGGAAAGGTAATTAAGGATTTCCAGAACATTTTATGTATCTGAATTTGGACATTTCTATGACAAGCTATTGCTGTTTTACTCTGACTATCGAGCTGCGCAATCCAAGAATACAATGAGTTTTCATCTTTTCATCCAATTATCATCTGAAATTGTATAGTGAATGATGAATGAATTTCTCGTTTAGAATTCATATATATTTTTGTAAATGGAAAGTTTATTAGGGAATGACAATTGTACCTCTAGAACCCTAAAAATCATTACCGTATCCCTAACTCTTCCCTATAAATATGAGACTTTGGTTCTCAATAAAAACACACAAGTTTATTGACTTTTATTCTCTCTTGTGATAACACGTTATAAACATGGCTCTATCAAAATCAAAGTTAATTAGTTAGAAGGTAATAATCTGTATAAGCATAATTATCAGTCATGTGTACCGAATTCATTTTGGTGACATATGAATTTTTTTTATAGACATATACATGAATTCCCAATTTTTTTTTATATACATGTGATTTTTTTTAACAATACATTAATTCTGCCGCAATCATTGCCTTTTGATTCATGCCTTTTGATACGTGGAATTCATGCCTTTAACTTTTGTGCATATGAAATTCATTTTCAAGATATTCGTCTAGAGTTATTCATGCCTTTAACTTCTATATATGTGAATTCACGTATTTGTATCTTTTACATGTTGGTAAAAGATTTAATCGATTATGTTAACTTCTATATATGAAATTTTTTTCCCTAATGCATGTTTAATAATTAATTTTTATATCACATCCTACCTATATAGTAATTAATATTTTTAGATGTTCCTTTATAAACATTAAATTGATAATTTATCATATTGTTGCTTCCTCCTGAATAAAATGAATTATAATTTTCAATATTTCAGAATAATGTTGACATATTAATCTTAAAAAAATAATAGTAAAATATAATGTGCTCTCAAAGTTGTACATTATAATTCCAATTAATATTTTAGTTACATTTTGCTTGCTCCCGAAGCATAATAATATGAAATCTAACAAAAATTGTGTTTTCACTCCTGAAAAGTAAATCCTTTCATAATTTATTGTTCTAAACAATAGTATGTTATTACTCCTCAAGAGCAGGAAATCAATAGTCTTGAAAAATCTT